ACGACTTACAAGTCATGCCTAACTTTATGCACCCAGGCTGTGTCATTTATTCATTGTTTCTGTGGTATTTCTAAAATCCTCATCTGTTAAGACAGCACATACATTAGACGTTTGAAGCACTTTTCATTCCCCTGAGCACCATTACTCAAGCATTCAAAAATGCAGGTGCCAGGACACTCTTCCGTGATCATCATGCAAGTATACCCCTCCCCTGCACCACATTAAACGACTCTTTGCTTGTAAAGACGGCTGTAGTTTAACATCGCCCTGCATCGCCTCATGTTTTATCAAGCTGGTGTTTCCTGATTTCATTCTGCTCATGATCTCACTTTTGCTCCCTTCACTTGGCACATACGTCCTTCCGCCTGCCTCCTGATTCTGCTTCAGAAATCGTACGGACAATTTATGGACATACTATTGTGTGTTTGTTTGTTTGTTTTTAAAACAGAATACAACTCACACCTGGAGCAGCCTGGCTTTAGCCAGGAGCATTTACAACTAACTACAGAAGGAAGCCAGGGTGACAGTATGAAGAAAACACCAAGTGCACATGAACTCCTAAGACGACAAAGCTGACACAAAACGTTAAGTTACCAGAACATGAAGAGAACAATATGTATTTCAGCGTGAGGGTTGGAGACACCCAGCAAAATGAACTGGAACTGCTTGCTTACAAATTCTATCTTGGTTGCTAGTACAGAAAATTACTAGGAGATATGGTTGAAATTTTAAAATTACTTATTATAATTTTTTAGGAAAGTTCAGGAAGGCTAGAAAAAATAATCAGAGGCAAAACCACTTTGCAGAAAACTTCACCACCTCTTTCCAAATCATTGTCGACTCAACTAAAAAAATAAAAAAATTCAGCATGCTCACTCTGTTACCCGTCTGCGTCAGGACAGATTATCCCCAAGATGGGGAAACATTTAATGTATACACCATACATCCAAAGTGCATCTAAAATATGCTCATCAGCTCTGTTAGTGCCTACCTACAAACCATAACTGGATCTGAATTAAGTATACTGAAGGCCCCTCTGCTCCACCCCCACCCCAAATTGCTAAACTTCTAAAATAGAGTGACAATTTTCTCACTCAGTTGCATGTCTTGATGACATCCTATGTGAACAGAGAAGAGTACAACTGAAGATACCATAAATCCAAGAGGCATTCTGAAAGACTGGTTAACATGAAACGACATGCCTCAGTTCTGCAAGTACGTACAGGTAGCTACTACTTTTTAGAAGGAAAACAAAGGAAAAAAGTAGGAGAACAAGCAAAGCCCTAGACGTTAGTCATCAGAAAATATATTTTGTGCAGAAAATATGTTTTGTATAAACAAAGATCAACTATTTGTATTCTATCTTACATGTCATTTCTCTCTTCTTTATAACACGTGCCTGTACATCGTGGCATAATCCAGCCTTGAATTCTTATTAGATCCCAAGTGTTACTACCCTAAAACCAGAGACTGTACTCTTAGGCTTTTCTTTTCAGTATACCTAAGAAAGTCATTACCATATTTCTGTCAAAATGAGCACGTAGACAAATACATGCACACATGCAGATCTGCCACTGTGACAAGAAAGTACATCGCCAAGTCCTACCTTTACAACAGTTTCACTAGCATTCAAATTTATAAATAAAAATATTGAGAACACTAGTACAAATTAAAAAAATCCAGTGGGATTCTGAAAAGCATCCAGGCACCCACCAGGAACATGTAAGTATCTTTACTTTCCTTTCTAGAACACAGAAGCACTGTGCTTGGGTTTTTTTTGGTTGGTTGGTTGGTTTGGTTTTGTGGGTTTTGTTTTTTTAATTTATCTTCTTGTAAAAAGCCATAGATTGTTTTAAACTTAAAGACAGTACTTAACAGTAGATAAGGCCCATATATATTCTGTTCCAGTACTACTCAGTCTTACCTTTGTTGCAGCACGATTTCTTAATTCACAGGACAGCCAGCTACCTGTGAGTGCTGGTCAAAGTCTTGTAGCCGAATGCTTACTTCCCTCTAACTACAGGTAGCTGTTTCCTGGCTAGAATAAACTTTTGCACTGGTAATTACAACTGCTCTTAATCTGGGCGCACTGAGAAGCTGCCAGCAGTCAGCATAATTTGACTTCATTACGGGCTCTTGGGTTTTGATTTTTTTATTTGTTAATTGTGCAATTAATTAATAGTTTCTTTCCTAATATTTTTCTAATCTACTGTGTATGATCCATGTTTTGATGAACAAATTCATCGAATTTGAATTCAAATAGAAGATAATCTGCATTTAGGTGGAACATGTCAGAAAGACATGAAAACACAGAGAAAACGACCTAGCTTACATCTCGGGGCATTTTGCACTATTCACTTGCCTTATTAAAAAGGTCTACAATTAATTCCAGTTACCTTCTAGTCATTAGTTCTTCCATAAAGCAGCTGTTAGTCTGTTATGTATTTTTGGCCTCCTAAATATTTATACATGAAATCATCACTCAGTCCTCTAAAATGAAGGGAAGGAGTTCTTCAAGTGTTTTAATAACACTTGCTTTGGTACCAGATTTCCTCTGTGACTTTTTTCATTCAAAGTCGCCAAACAAATCAATATGCTATTTCTGTGGACTGTCAATTAACCTTTATTTTCCCTTCCCATTCTGTTTTGTTTTCACCTCTGGTATATGAAGATGTCCAAAAAGATTTGTAGTTAAAGATTCCCTAAAAACAGGCCTTTTTTAAACAGTGTTTTAAATAAGAAAATATGGTTTGAGAGAGAAATGTTGTCTGCTACTTATTTGCAAAAGTAAGTATTTTTAGGTTTTCTTGATCACTGTTTGTTTGGTTTTTGGGGGTTTTGTTTGTTGGTTTGTTTGTTTAAGAAGTTGATTTTACTGATGTTCCTTTTAGGCCTCAATTGCATTGTAGCCCTTTCCATGAAACAAACCCCACAAACAACATTGTTCTTCATTTTTAAATCATCTAGCCCCAGTTTATCCATGGGGCAAAAATGTAATGTTACTTTAGTGACATTCTCTTCACGTAAAACAATATTGTCTCCTTTGCAAAATGCGATCTGCTACTACTACTGTGTAGTTCACCCACCTTAATTGCGAAAGCTTCCAGCAATACTTTAAATCAAATTATATAGCCTTGCCCGTAATGTGAAAGGAAAGAAGAGTCTCATACTTACTGAGTTTGTGTTGCTGGCAAGGAGCGTCTTATGATAGAATGAACTTGTCTGTAAACATCCAACTTCGACATGCATCGGCAGGACGTGTGATTGGCAAAACTGACGGTTACGGGTTTGGGGCCATGAGAAAGAGGCACCGTGATCTCAAACAGCTATAAAAGAGAAAGCAAAGCAAAGAACTTTTTTTTATAGATCAGTAACAGTACAACTGAAAATAATACAAGGACATGCAAAAAAAGCTGTAAGGAATTTAAGTTCAGGTTTTTGTTCTCTAGCATCATTCAGTGGCATATTCAATTATACTGCTAAATGATCATTATGTGCAAAATGAATACAAATAGCTATGGTATGGCAATTAGCATTTTTAGTGTTGAACCCTGTTACGTGCTTGTTTGCTTACTATAACATTTAAACTAACACAAAAGAGGAAAATGTACAAAGAACTCATTTTTCTAAAGGAAATTACTTCAAATTGGCAGCCTTTTAAAAAAATCTAAATCAGAACATTTGGAAGGTGCTCCAAAAAGTTGGGAAACAAGAATAATTTAAAAAGAGGGTAAGCTACAACCTAATACATCAGTTGCACAATTACAAAAGATAGTGTAAAACAGCAATATATTGGACTTAGATCAAAACATTTTTGGGTGAACAAGTTTTGAACTGCAGCATACTATATATTTGACTTTCCAGAATTTGTATCAATGCAAATTATATGGTTACCCTAACGGAATGCATCTTGAATGATTGATTTTTTTCCAAGATATTAAGAAATATCCACTATTAATAAAATAATCATGTATGTGAATGACTAAAATCCTAATTTTAGTGGGAAATGTAGCTCAACGGTGGAAGAGGACAACTTCAGCCATACCTTGTGGAAAAACTGAACATGTGGTAAGAGACAAACAGTGAGACTCATTTCAGTATTCAATTCAGGGCATCTCCTTTATCAAATTAAGAAGGCTTCACTGTAAGGCTCAAATCTCAATACTCTCCTGAAAAGTTAGTTAGGACAAATACTTTAGGTCAAAGACTTAAAACAATTTTTTGGTAGTATTTTTCATAGGGTAATAGTGCACTGTTGCCTTTTAGGCGTTTAGTCACTTTCCAAAATATATTTAAGACTATTTCTGCATCTTCTGGGGACTTGGCTACCTTTAAAAACATGGTCATTAGTTATTATTCCAGTTTCAGCTAATAAGACTGTATAACAAGACTTTGATTTTTAGCCGAGATCTATTTGCAACGCTTTTTTATAATCAACAACTTTATAGTATGGCATATAGGCAGCATGCAAATGTAATGAAAATACTGGTCATTTTAAATGATTCAAAATACGAAGTACATCTACAGGATGTCCTGGAAACAGTACCTTGCGCTGAAGTACGCAGGTGAGCCTGAGTACTGACAAGCAGGTAGGATGTATTCACCGAGTACCCGCAAGGTAAAAGGGCGCTTGTGTGGCCAGCAACAAAGTTCATGCTATTGATATACCTGAACTGTGCAACTTAAACCTAAACTGTATCAAGCATCAGCAACTCCAATAGATAGTATCTATCTTACAAAACACATGGTGACATTATTTAGTCACTGTATCTTTAAAATTGGGAGTGCCATCATACAAGAACTGAAATGGCAGAAGTGTATTTGCAATTTATTCTGTTACAGAAAATTACAATGCTGTTATTTTCGCTGCTAAAAGTACCACATCCCTAGTATTAGTTTTAAATGTGTTTTTTTTTTTTTTCCCCCCACTAGAATCTAAAAATGCAAACTGGTATATATTTACTTCTGTAGAAGGAAAACCAAAACAGCAAATAGTTTCCTGCATCTTCCAAATACGATGAAAAAAAACCTATTTGCCTAGGGAGCCACCATGGAAAGAGTTTCTCTTGTTAGACAGACTTCTAGCCAAAGCATATTAACATTTGGATTCTTGCTCCAGAGGCAAAATAAACAACACTTCTTAAAATTTTGGTCTTGAGTCATTAGTAAGATAAGGGTACAAGTCCACGCCTAGTTTAAAGTTTGGTATCAATAAAATTAATGCTTAAATCAATGTCTGCTTCTCTCAAACATAACTATCAGCAGATATACAACCAGGGTTTTCACTAAGTTCAACACAGACTTCTGGAAACAGACCTTCCAATCAATTTTTTTTAGACTTACAAACCTTTTTGGCTTCCAAATCCATATTGGCTCCTTTACCCTTATCCATTATAAAAGTTCCTTTAAATTAATCACAAAAGGCATTCTTACCATGATGCCTCATCCAAAAAGAGCAATAATCATAACACAGAGCAATCATTTTCATACTAATATTTTATATGAAAATCGCTTTATGTACTTATTCATAAGAAAGATGGGGACAGACTTTTTAGCAGGGCCTGTTGCAACAGGACAAGGGGTAATGATTTTAAACTAAAAGAGGGTGGATTGCAATTGGATAAAAGGAAGATGTTTTTTCACAATGAGGGTGGTGAAACTCTGGCACAGGTTGCCCAGAGAGGTGGCAGATGCCCCATCCCTGGAAACACTCAACGTCAGGTTGGACGGGGCTCTGAGCAACCTGATCTAGTTGAAGATGTCCCTGCTCATTGCAGGGGGGTTGGACTAGATGGCCTTGAAAGGTCCCTTCCGACCCAAAGATTCTATGATTTCTTTTTAAAATATCCACCTGTTTGAAGGCCATCGTAGGTTTTGTAATAAGCACAATCTAAATAGGAAATCGGAGAGGAGGAAGGTGGTGGTGTAGATAGGAGACAGAAAGGACCACGTTTATGAAAAACAGCTTTCATTTCTGCATACAGTACATATTTGAGAAAATATATGCCGAGTTCTTTGGATATGTGTTTTTTAAATATGGATCTTTAAACAGCTGGCAAAATTCACCTAGATATGCAGGACTTGTATCTTTGTTTTTTTTTTTTTTAAGAAGTTGTGCTTTTGGAAGGACAGTACAACTGTTGAGACCTCTGAAAATCTGGACAGCTAAGAATCTACAGATGAGAAAGCCTCTACCATATTAAATATCTTGTAAGAAAACTGATTCCTAACACACATATATGAATTGAGGGACAGAACAGAGTACGGGCTTAACTACACTATTAGACATGTAGAGAGAATCTTCTGTTTTCTCTGCTCTCTTATAAGACAGTATGAACTTAACCTCATGAAATTTAACAAGGACAAGTGTAGAGTTCTGCCCCTGGGGAGGAACAACCCCATGCACCAGTACCGGTGAGGGGCTGACCTGCTGGAAAGCAGCTCCATGGAGAAGGACCTTGGAGTCCTGGTAGACAGTAAGTTATCCATGGGACAGCAATGTGCCCTGGTGGCCACGAGGGACAACGGTATCCTGGGGTGCATTAAGAAGAGTGTGACCAGCAGGTCAAGAGAGGTTATCCTCCCCCTCTGCACAGGTTATCCTCCCCCTCTGCACTGGTGAGGCCTCATCTGGAGTATTGTGTCCAGTTCTGGGCTCCCCAGTTCAAGAGAGACAGGGAACTTTTGGAGAGAGTCCAATGAAGGGCTATGAGGATGATTAAGGGACCGGAACATCTCTTGCATGAGGAAAGGCTGAGAGACCTGGGGCTGTTTAGCCTGGAGAAGAGAAGGCTGCGAGGGGAACTTATCAATGTCTATAAATATCTGAAGGGTGGCTGTCCGGAGGATGGAGCCAGTTTCTTTTCAGTAGTGCCCAGTGATAGGATGAGGAGCTATGGGCATAAACTGCAGCACAGGAAGTTCCACCTCAACATAAGGAAAAACTTCTTTACTGTGAGGGTGACGGAGCACTGAACAGGCTGCCCAGAGAGGTTGTGGAGTCTCCTTCTCTGGAGACCTTCAAAACCTGACTGGACGCGTTCCTGTGCAACCTGCCCTAGGTGATTCTGCCTTGGCAGGGGGGTTGGACCAGATGATCTTCAGAGGTCCCTTCCAACCCCTATGATTCTGTGATAGAACTTGCTTTTCCAAAGCTGAAGTGAAAACCCACTATAGGGAGAACTGATAAAACTTAGTAACTGAAGATAAGTGTAATTCTTTGCATGGACCAAAATGCAGCTGACTAGAAAAAAGGGTATGTTCTCTTCCTCTGTTCTTGGAGTAGATTGATTTTCCATACTGCAAAGCGTAGCAGACTCCAGACCTCTAGAGGTGGCAGTGTAGGACTATTGCTACAGTTCCAAACCACCTGAAAGAGGTCCCTATCAGCCCAGCTGTCCTCCTGTTCAGCCTCAGGAGTACACCAAGAGAAATTTCACTAAAACACCTAAGACGTACCAATTTGTGAGCGGAAATGATGGTGAACATGAATTATCTTAGGCTACATTTATCCTTCCATTTAAACTGTGAAAGGTATTGGTTTAGACGTGAATATTGCTAACAACTCTTCCCATAAACACTTTACTGGTGCAATGCAAAAAAAGCCTAAACAATGTAAAGGTAGATGAGTTTCCTTGACCTCACTGAATTACCTTCAGTTTGTTCAGGTAAATTCTCTTAATAGGAACATGTTTTACATCACCCACTAGTAGCTACTGTTTATACATAAAGTAAAACAAAGCCAACTATTTATGTTAGAGATTATATTATATTAGGTATTACATTTCTAGCCCTCACTTTTGAGAAGTGCTTAAAATGGTACATGAACTAGCATTTTGAAAAAGAATACAAACCAGTTCTAGTTTCCTTAATGGAAGTGATGGAAGTGAAATACTGTGGTTGGAATTATTGATTTGTTCTTCCTACACTTTTTATTCCTCTGCACATGTTATTAGAATACCATATTCTGATGCATACTGAAAAAGGAGATATTTACTCTCTTCTGAAAATGAAAATATATCAAGAAGGGATTTCACAAGAAATAAATTCTTGAAAAGTAGTCTTTTACAGAAAACGTATTTAATACTCAGACTAATTCTGTTTAAATAATCTCTGGCATTTTGAAATAAGATCTATTCTAAAGAAAATCTACATTCTCCTCCCAGCTATGATAGCATCATCTCTAAATCCAATGAAGCTATTTAAATGAGTAAACTCTCAATATACATAAATTGGGTTTGAATTATCATCTTAATAAATCATTTCAAATTAGGTAAGATCTGACCTTCTTGAATGGTTTCTAGGTTTGTTAGAATCTCTAATTTAT